GGCGCCGAGCCTCTTGACTTTCTTAATAGAAAAGATTCTCTACTTCTTTGTAAGTCACCAGATTTAAATATCAATTTAAAAATAACTGCTGCCACATGGAGAGTGGTTGTAGGACAGCTTGTATCCAATATGAGAAAATTTCCACATACCATTTATAACATTTATATTAGTCAATATATATGAACTTGAAGTTGCCTTGAGATTTTCGATAGTTGATGGAAAATCAGTAATGAGAACTATGCCCACACGCCCCCCGGTAAATATTATAAAATATCCATTGTTTCCTTTGTGTGACAGTAACATGAGATTATGACACATTCATGATGTCCCCATATTGGTTTCAATTACCATTATATCCATCTTGGTTCAGGTCCCCTAAGTGCGCCAGGGAGCTACCGAATCTCCCAAAAATCTCAGAGCCAGTGAGGACCTGGGGGTTTCTGAAGACGAGAGCGCTCGCTTGCAAATAAAGGTAGATTTGCCCTACTTCCCGAGGGTTACTCTCAAATTCACGGTCCATAAAGAGAGGTGCTCCAACCAGTATGTCATCCATTCTGCAGGGAACAAAGATTTGAGAGTCATTTGGGTGTATTTGTAATTAATTAGACTAGTACATTTCCTTTGGTATTTTTCCTTTTCTGGGAGACATATTACAAGCATCACACATCTTTCACTGCCTTGTTATGTCTACAGAACGGAACACTTTAAGAAAATAAGAGTTGTTCAAGTACCACGCTGAACTTTTTAGCCATGTTAAAAACAACTGTTTTAAGAAAACCATAGATATCTCACCCTTTCCAGCTTTACAGTCAACTCTCAGAAACTGTAGTTACACAAGGAAAACATAGCAAGAAAGGCCTAAATAGGTTTTTCTGTAAAGAGTTTAGAGTTTGACTACAAAGTCTATAACCATACATTTAAATAAGGCATTTTTAGTCCAGTAATCAAGTTGAAAATCAACTTTGCCCTTCCCTTTCCTTTTGTTATCTTGATAAAAATAAAAACCCAGGCCAGAGAGGTGTGTAGGGTTGACGACAAAGTTAGAGAACAAATTTTCATGTCAAACGAAAATGTATAATCTAGATTGAGTAGGCAGATTATGGCAGAAAAGTAATAATTCTTAAGGTTAAAAAAATTCAAGAAACAGACACCCAAGCAAATTATGAAAGACATAATCACCAGCTGAATAAAAACCAAAAGGGGTTAAAGGTGTTTCCTTCACAGAGCCAGATGGGCAGGATGAGGAATAAAGGAGGTAACTGTGCCATGAGCCTTCTAAGTTGTCTGAAGTTTTTAAAAACATATGTATGTATGATTTTTCTTTTTAAATTCTTAAGAAAAGTCACAGCAACCAAAATACATAATTTGACCTTTACTCATGACCTCTACAAAAGTGTGTCTGCAGACACTCCCTCCCGGCAGGTGCAAACATTTGAGGGGTGACCTGAGGAGGAAAGACAAACTTGTATTTGACCTTTATGCCTCCGTAGATTAGGTTGTACTCTGGAGTTTGCCAAGTAAACTAACTACTAAAATATTGTTGTCACTAATATGATTTAGTCATGTGTATCACTAATATATATTAATATATCAGTCCATATTAATAATATATTTACATATGGAATATCTATAAAATTAATAATTTATATTCTAAAACAATATACAATGAATAATAAAACTGATGGTGTATCGTTAATACATGAGTAGCATATAATGTATTATATTTAAATATATAAAATATATTAACACCATATTGATAATATACAATTATGTAATATATAATATGTAATAAATCAGATATGTATAAATATCATAAATTTATTAATAAGATTACTAGATTCTCTATCATGAGTCTTGCACACATGTCTTTGAATATCATTAATATCAAAAGGCAGTGATGAGGTGGGACCAGTTATTGACAGCATGAGACTTTAAGATCTCAGTGGTCTGCGAGACTCTCTGGACATGACTTTGTTTCACCTTCTCTCTAACTTCTTGCCTTCCCTGTGGTATTTACCTACTGTCTATTTCTCAGTCTGAGTCAGTAGATTTTGGGTGTACCCACTATATTTAAGGTACTATAACAAGTGGCTTAAATCAATTATGCCCCTGATCAATTTACAAGTAATATTAAATATAATTACTACTTATATAATTGTTATATAATTGCTACTTATATAATTATAAATAAGGAAGACTGGGAAATATAATATGGAGTTCCACATTAACACTTGGGGTCCCCAGACAGGGGAGAGACTTGGGGATCCCAGACAGAGGAGAGGCTCGGTACTTGGAGGGAATTGAGGAAGGCTCCATGGGGCAGGTAGCCTTGGACCTGGGTGGAATCTTGACAGGTGAATCTAGAAGTAGGTTTTCCAGAGGGCAACATTGTGACCCAAGGCAAACTGAGTCACAACAGGGCAAACTGAGTGGAGTCAGGGTAAAGCGAGTGGTCTCTATGTACTTGGTATAAGGATTCTAATACATCTGACCAGAAAATTAACTGGAATTCTTAAAGCTCACCAATATGAAGCCATATCTAACAATAACATACATCATTACCACATATCATATACTAGTCTATGTTGTTGATGTCAGTAATCTGTGAACATGTAATACGCAATGAGAAAAATAAGAAAACAAACAACTCAATTAAAAAATAGACAAAAATCTCCATAGACACCTCTTTGAAAAAGATACAGATGGCAAACAAGCATTTGAAAAGATGCTCAATATGTCAGTAGCCATTGCAAATTAAAACATCATTATACCACTATAAATCTCTTAGAATGGCTAAAATCCAAGGTGCTGACAGCACCAAATGTTGGCAAGGATGTAGGGCAACAAGAACTCTCATTCATTGCTGGGGAGGATGCAAAATGATACAGCTGCTTTAGAAGACAGGCCAGCAGTTTCTTGCAAAGCCAAACATGGGCTTACCACAGGATCCCACAATTGCGCTCCTTGGAAGTTACCCAGTGGTGTTTAAAACACATAGCCATACAAAACTCTACGTGCAAATGTTTATAACTTGTTTGCCCAAACTTGGAAACCACCAAAATACTCTCCATAGGTGAGTGGATAAACAAACTGTGTAATATTCATACAATGGAATATTATTTAGCAATTTAAAGAAATGAGTTATCAAGCCACAATGAGACACAGAAGAATCTTAAATGCATATTGTTAAGTGGCAGATGCCAACCTGAAAAGGCTATGGACTGTATAATTCCAACTATAAGACATTCAGGAAAAGGCAAAATTAGAGACCATAAAAAGATCCAGTGGCTGGCAGGGGTGAAGGGGGAGGAGAAAGGGATGAAGAGGGGAAGCCAGGGGGTTTTTAGGGCAGAGAAACTATTCTGTACGGTGTTGAAATATGACATTACGCATCTGGCATGGCCCTTACCATGACACTGCACACAGAACGACTTCTAATGTAAACTATATACCTTTCTGAATAGGTCAGTGTGGGCTCAGCAATTGTAATACATGGACTGCCCACTAGGAGACGCTAATAGGGCTAACTGAAAGCAGAGGGGAGGGGGGTCTACGGAAACGCTCTGTACTGCCTGCTCAATTTTTCTGTAAACCTAAAACTGTTCTAAGAAATAAAGTCTATTAATAAAATATAAAAGATATCTGGAAAAGTAAGTGGAGTCCAGATAATATGGGTAAAGCAAGAGTTTGGGTATCATACTGATCTAGATTTAAAATCTCTTCCAGTAACTGGATGTGTCATATTGAAGAAGTTACGCTCCTGCTTTAAAATGTGGTGAATATAGAAATAGGCGGCTTCGCCGGATACATCACTTACATTCTCTCTTTCTCCCTCCATCTCTCCTACTCCCTCTCCTCCGCCCATGTCACACAGTAGCACTTGATTAATGGTAGGTTGTTAGGAAGGCACTGTGCTAGTTTTTTAAAAGGGATACAGAGCATTTTTACATTATAACAATGCAAACAGGAAGAATTCCTCTTTCAAAAGCAAAATACGCTTGCCTTCTCCCCTCCTATCTTGGAGAAAACAGAAACAAAGCGAAGAGTAACCCTGGGAGAGTCTGGAGCTGCTTCTAGAAAATCAGCAGCTGACAAAACATACCAGGACCTTAAGCCATTTCTGACCAAACTTGAACAAGGAGCGAGGTACTGGGCATAGACCAGGCTGAGAAATGGTTATCATTTTGGTCTCAAACGACAAAATAGAAGGCAGATTGCTAAATCCAGATACAATGTTTTCTTTAAAACATTGCAAATACATGTACTTAAGAGAAAAAAAAAGGTCTCATTGTCATATTGCTGTGCTCCAAGCTGAGGGGAGAGCAGGAATTGGGCTCTTCCACCCCCTAGATTAACTTGGAGGAGCCCTGGTTACCTTTTTTTTTTTGATATTACTGTCGTTATGAAGAGGCATTTGTTAAATACCCACTTGTAACGTGTGGCTGCCTGGTAGCCTCAGAGTGAAATATCTGCAGTCACTGGTTCTCTATTGCAGAGATACAGCAGGGCCACTTTCCTGTTCTGTAGAGAAGGGACAAGGGGTCTAACTGGTCCTGGAGGGTCTGAACGTGCACAGGCTGACAGTCGGCTCAATGCATTTCTCACTGCCAACACGAGTTCTAGAAATAAAAAGTGATTAGACCTATCCTTGTGGTTAGGTCTTTGGGTTCCAAAAGCAATAGGACAGCACTGGTTTCTTTGCTTAGAAATACATTTCCCTAGACACTTCAGTGTAAGTCTCCTAAAATGATCTAAATGCCAGAAAGAGACAGAGGCATTTGTTCTTAATTTACAATTATGTTTTCATAGAGTCGAGAGACATTAACTGTCTTGCTTCAATTGGTTCAGTGTGCCTTGCAGAATAGATGGCATTCGGTGTAAATATTATTTTGTCCTGGTCATTCCATGTAAGAGTCACAGTATAAGTTATTGTTTATGCTGGTGTTTTAAAATCTTGACTTGCAACCCATTAGTAGATTGTGAAATCAACTTAATGGGTGTTGACCAACATTTTTTAAATTAACCAAAATACAATAGAAAATAGACTGCATCATATATGATAAGGGTGAATATTCTGGGTGTATGTGTGTGCACTGAATCACAATGTCAAATATATTTCTTATTATGGACCACAGGCAAAAAAGAAAAAATAGGTTGAGAAACTATTGCACTGGGCTCTGCGTGTCATGAACCTATTTCAAAACTTGTCAAATCCTCTCTGGAATATATCCAATCAAATTGAAAGTTTTAAAATATTTATTAGTAAAGGTATATTTCCCTGCCCTCCTGGTAAGTAGTTGTGTATAATAGACTCGACACCATTGTAAGAGAATATATGTTTATGTATATAAACAGAATAAACACACCTATTTTAATCCAATCTGGTGATGGAGAATAATGTTTAAAAACCATTTTCTTTGTCTGGGTCCTAGAGCTACTTCTAGAATAGTAGCAATAGATAAAACAATAGCTTGGAAGATATTTAAGTTATTACAGAAAGGCATTTTGTTTTGTTTGTTTGTTTTTTATCTAGACAGAGTCTCACTTTGTTGCC